TGATAATTCGTTCATATTGTTAGTTCATCGTTTACCGTTAAATCGTTATACCGTAGATTATTCGTTATTTTAAACTGTTAGAAAAATGCACCAAGAAACTGTAAACCATGGTTTATTATACACCGTAAGAAATAAATGGAACGCGAAGAAAATAGATAATTCGTAGTTCCTTAACAAAGAAAGAGATGAACTTAATTCCTTGATAATTGAGCCAAATGGACTTAAGTTGACAAAAAACACCACATATCTTATTCTTAAAATTAACACAAACAAATTAATAAAAGACATGTTTCGGGTTTCACCAACCTATGACATAAAATACACAAATAAAACCAAGCCCTTTCCTTATGGACTATAGGTGATTATTATGCAGAATATATATTATGTGGTACACTGGTTGTCAAAGGGATTAAATAGAGATAATTCATGACTGACGAATTTGATATTGGGAAAGGGATCAATCAAGGGTGCGTATCTTTCGCCAGTATTATTTTATACCTTTATTAATAAATTTGTTAAACTTCTGGAAAGAAATTTGGGTGTTAGAATGAATGATACAGTACTTGGATTGGGGGTGGGGGCTGTTTTGGGCTGATGACGTTATTGTGGTATTAAGTGGCGAAAAGGAAAAGACAAAAATGTTCGAAATTGCTGATAGAGAATGGAAATTAGGCTTTAACCATGATAAATCAAGTACTATGGTTGTCGGAAAACGTTTAATTATAATAAAAAATGGAAACTAGGTGAAAAAAAAACTTTAAAAGAGGTTAACTGCTATAAGTATTTAGGAGTTTATATATGGGAATACTGTGGAATACTATGAATTATACATGTGCGTTTGGTGCGGTAAGGAGTAGGTCAACATTATAACATTTTCACAAGTCTACAAACAGTACCCTGGGGGGGGGGTGGTTATAGACAAATTTGTATACTTTTACGTATGCATATAAAATGTTAATTCAAAATAACATGTAATATGTAAACTAATGGTAAAATTATAATGTGACCATGGATATAACATTCATTTTTAAGCAACCAAGCAGTATATATATTATATATGTATATATACATATATGTATAAATAAATAAATAAATATATATATATATATATTACAGTGCTCAAATATATGTGAACATAATGTCCTAAATCGTGTCGAACATAGTTCATCAACGAAAGTGTGTATACAAATATATATATATATATATATAGGCCTATATAAGAAATATAATATAT